TTTTATTTTTTGATAGGGTCTTGCTAAGTTGCTTAGGCCTTGCTAAATAGCCAAGACTGTCCTAGAACTTGCAATCCTACCTCAGCCTCCCGAGTCACTGGAATTATAGGCATGCACCACAATCCAGCTCATAGGGTTTCTTCTAAGCAGAAGAAATAAATCTCCATCCTCCAACAATACCAATCAACCTCATTTTACAGTAGAAGTGTCTGAGAAAAGGTAAGAGTGTCTTAAGTCTGAAAAATATACTCATGGAGGCCCTTGACCACTTAAAGAAACAACCAAATTCATATGGTTAGTAAATGAATGTCTCATACAGCACACACTTAAAATAAGATAATAGGACTGGAGATAAGGCTCAGTTGGTAGAGTGCTTGCCTCACATGTACAAGGCCCTGGGTTCAATACCCAGCACCACAAAATAAATAAATAAATAAATGAAATAAAATAAAATAAGATGGTAATTTTTTTTGCTAAATTAAATATATTAGTAAACTCCTTAGCAAGATGTGCATATTATGGGAGCTTCATAAATTAAAAATAAAGAAAAAATTGACCTAAATTCCATCTAGTAGTGATTACCTCAATCTAAAGGACCCCCTTGAAAGGAAAAAAAATCAGCTTTAAAATTCTGCAAACAGGGGCTTGGGCTGTAGCTCAGTGTCAGAGTGCTTGCCCAGCACGTGTGAGGCACTGAGTTCGATCCTCAGCACCACATAAAAATAAACAAATAAAATAAAGACATTTTGTTCATCTACAACTACCAAAAAACAATTCTTTTTTTTTTTAAGTCTGCAAACATAGCCAGTTCTGCTGGTACACACTATATTTACGGCTACCCAAAAGGCTGAGGCAGGAGGACTGCAAATTTGAGAGCAATTTAGCAAGACCCTGTCTAAAAGAAAGAAAAGGGGCCAGGGATGTAGCATGTAGCTTAGTGGCAAAGCACCTTCTTAGCAAGTGCATCCCTAATACCACAAAAAAGAAAAAAAAATCTGTAAACATAAATCTACAGATCCTCACCTGATTAATTTTTATCTGAATCATAAAGAAAAAGGTAAAATTCTCTTTAATTTTTATACAAAAAAGTATGAGCAAAGACCCTAAAATTACTGTTTATAAAGAGGTAGAGATGGCTGGGGATGTAGCTCAGTGATAATATGCACAAGACTCTCCATTCCATCCCTAGCACCACACAAAAAAAGAGGTACAGGGTGTCATTTTAGCATCTCAACTCTTTAGTGAGAGCACTAAAGGTATATTTTAAGGCTAGATCAGTGGTAAAGAACTTGCTTGGCCTATGTGAGGCCCTGGGTTTGATCCCCAGCATCATTTAAAAAAAAAAAAAAAAAAAAGGAGCTGGGGATATAGCTCAGTTGGTAGAGTCTTGCCTCAAGTGCACAAGGCCCTGGGTTAAATCCCCAGCACCACCAAAAAAAAAAAAAAAGGATAAATGCTAATAGTTACGGAAAAATGCACATCAGATAGATTTTAAGTCAGAATTTTACATGACAGAAACAAAAAAAAAATCTATGTAATACTATTTTTAAGACCCATGACTTTGAAATTAACATGGTTATACAATATTTTTCCTTTAATTGTTTCCATCATCATATAAGCTTTACCTATGGAAGTAATCAATCCCTTCACTTTGATTCCGAAATTCAAAAAGCTGTGAAAAAAACTTTTTTATTATTCATGTGGTGACAAAACATGACATGAGCCTATTTATTTATCCCAGTTAGACTTAGCATTTAAACATTTTACTCCTAAAATAGTAATGTGTTTGAGTATAAGGTGCTGCTCTAGAGCTCTCTGGGGTGTTACATAACATACAGTATATATTCCACATTTGTTTACTAAAATCTCCAAAATTTCTAAATTCAGAAACACATCTGGTCCTAAGATTTTTTTTTTTTTTCTCCTCATGGGCTTTGAATAACATACCATGGACCAGTATACCAATTAAGACAAAATCATCTTATATAAAAAATATAACTAATACTGAGAATGAATATAGATCTTGACATGCAGCAAACCTAATGTCTTAACAACTATTAAACACAATCCTGGAAAAGAAAGCATTAAAAATTTTTCTTTTTTCTTTTTTTGTACCAGGGATTGAACCCAGGGGCACTTAACCACATTACCAGCTCTTTTTTACATTTTATTTAGAGACAGGGTCTCACTGAGTTGCTTAGTGTCTCACCAAGCTACTGAGACTGGTTTTGAATTCACAATCCTCCTGCCTCCCAAGGTACTGGGCTCACCCAGATAAAAAGACTTTAAATAATTGTCAAAAAACAAATATGTCGGCTGGGGTTGTACCTCAGAGTGGTAGAGTACTTGCCTATACTTGTCAGGCAAGCACCACATATAAACAAATAAATAAAGTTATTTTGTCTGTCTACAACTAAAAATATTAAAAACAAACAAACAAACAAACAAACACGTGGGGCTGGGATATAGCTCAGTTGGTACAGTGCCTGCCTCATATGCACAAGGCCCTGGGTTCAATCCCCAGCACCACAAAAAATAAACACACACACACACTATTTTCAGGTGATGGTGATATTTGCATCTTCTGAAATCTAAATCAATTCCTCTTAGGTTGAAATCCACTGATTTAAATCACAGTTAAAACAGAGCTAAAGATTAGCCGGGCTCGGTGGTACACCCCTGTTAATCCCAGCAGCCCAGGAGGCTGAGGCAGAAGGATCGCGAGTTCAAAGCCAGCCTCAGCAAAAGCAAAGTGCTAAGCAACTCAGTGATACCCTACCTCTAAATAAAATACAAAAAAATAGGGCTGGGGATGCGACTCAGTGGCCGAGTGCCCCTGAGTTCAATACCCAGTACCCACCCCCCAAAAAACTAGAGCTAAAGATTGAAAATTTTAACTATGTTGAGAAAATGAATCTTCGGTGATAAATAACTTTCTCAGTAAAATGTTCTGATTTCTCAAAAATTTATATCAGAGGTATGGGGATGTAGCTCAGTGGCAGAGTGCTTGCCTAGCACTCATCAAGCCCTGGGTTCAATCCCCAGTACCACAAAAAGAAAAAAATTATATCAGAGTCTAAGATTTAAAATTATTTCCCTGTGGAAGATAATTTATAAATGTCCAACAAATTACAATGGACTTTTTCTGTGAAAGCAGAGCCTCGAACATGAATAGAGGTAAGAACAGCTCTAAAAAATCTTTGAACAGGAAGAAGAGTTTCATAGTTCTTTCCTTCCTTCCTCCTTAAGTTGCTGCTTTTCTGGTTTTAGAATTTCAAACAAAGAAAATACATATTGGCTCCACTACTAAGAAACGCCCTTTTCTTAGCAACTTCCTCCTCCAATTTTCTTCCACCATTGACATCTCAGAACAATACCCACAACAGAACCTACCCTTTTGATTAATCCAAAATTCTGATGTTTAGAAAAATTAAGAGCTGCAATTTACAGTACCCAACTACTGCCTACCAAGTCCACAGTCCTCTCTCGCATCTAGAAGTCAGATAATAGAAAGAAGAAAGAAACATTAAGATTCATCAGAGCGGGCTGGGGATATAACTCAGTTGGTAGAGTGCTTGCCTTGCAGGCACAAAGCCCTGGATTCAAACCCTATCACCAAAAAAAAAAAAAAAAAAAGATTCATCAGGGCTAGGCTGTTGAGCTTTCACCCCACAGAATCCAATGAAATCTGACCTAATAAATGGCAAGGAAATGTGGCCTTCTTAGGGAGGAGAAAAAGACACTGGGCTGGCACCACCCTGAATCAAAGTCTGTATACTTTCTTCTGCAGGACACCCAATCAGAATTCAAACTGAGCCCCTGAAGTTCTGACACACTTCAAAGTGACTTTTAAAATTTAGAATTTTACAATTTAGACTTTTCCAACTCACATACTCAACAAAGGGGATGGATTTACAATTAACCAACCAGAGATCAAGACCCTGCCTGTCTCTCCATGCCAGAAGTCAAATTAAATGTCTGGGACCAGAACTCTCCCTATGTTTGTGACAATGCAAACATTATAAGTAGGCAGTGACTTACCCCTTACCCAGTGATTGCCAGAGGAAACAGCATCACATCGGTAAACTACACATTACCAGAGGCCCTGGGCAAGTCACTCGGGTTCTCTGAAACTTAATTTCCTTATGTCCAAACTCTCAAGGGAAGTTGTAAAAATTAAACAATATATGCCTAACCAAGGTTTGGCATACAGTAGGAGTACCATAAATGTTCTTCTCCTCTTCCTCCTCCTGCCTTCTGGGCCAAAATTCCAATCTCGGCTCCAAGAACTTTTTCCTCATCTCTGATTCTATATTCAGGTGTATAAACCTTCCCCATCTCATAGGATCTGGGACTGCTGGAGGACCCACAGAACCCAATCCCACCCCGTCCCATCCCATCCCGGTCTGGGTAGGGCACCGCCTTCAAAAACAGCCCCTATAGCCAACTCTCCTCCTGAGTCTGCGGACCATTCTGTGCGGGGCACATGCGCGCGCGCACACACACTATGCCCTACCCACCGCTACCCAACTTAACAGGCCAGGAGCCTTAAGGAGCACCTCAATTGCTGCATGGTCCTGAGACAGACACTGAGGCTCATCCTGGGGAAGAACTTCCCCAAAGAGCTGGGACCCAACTCAGGTACTCCTGCCGACAGTCTTCGTTTTACAAATGGGGATACTAAGGCCTGAAGAAGGAAGTGACTTGTCCAAGATCACAAAGCGAGTTGGGGACAGAGCCATGTCAGCTCGGGACACTTTCACAGCCTCACGGACTCGCAGGCCCCTTCACGAATCCGCTGGGGACTCCAGGTCACCCCCTCCCTTAGGGGGTAGGGTGGACTAAGACGCCACCCGCCGCCGACTGCTCGCCGGCCTCTGCCAGTCGGCGGCAGGAGGTGCGACACCCATTCCCCCTGGACTCTGCGCGGTTCGGGAGGGGCGGCCCAGCTGCGGCCGGCGCCTCACAGCGGGGCCCGCCCAAGGGGACTTGTTGCTCACCTGGCCTCGCGCAGTCCCCCTCAGAGACAGGAAAAGCCGGCCAGCCGCCCTATCTCAACACGGGATCTGCTCCCGCCGACCGCCTAGCGGGTTGCCACACAGCCGGACCCCCCTCAACGCGCAACGCCCCCAGCCGCGCTCGCCCGGCCCGTGTCCGCCATTACGCGATGCCCCGCCCTGGGACGCAGCCACACCCCGCCAACGGCTCTGATTGGTTCTCCGCTCGACCCGCCCTGGACTTCCAGTCATCCCATTGGCCTGAATAGAATGCCAGTTAAATACCTACGCAAAAGACGTACTCAAAGCTACTGTCCCGAGAGCTCCACCCGAGCAACTTCCGCAACAGGAGTAAACAGCGGGAGGCAAACCAAGTGAAGTGGGGGTAGACATTTCGGTAAATCAACTCTTAAATTCAGAGTAGAAAAATCTCACCAAAGAAAGGGCAAAATCTCGCTTAAAGTGTGTTGAAAGACGAATTCTTCTTATTGGAGTCCAAAGAACCAGTATTTTGGGGGATAGGAAGGGGCCAAGCCTGTAAACTTTTCTGAGGACACCCCTCAAGTTGCAAATAGTTATGTCCCTTCACTTAGGGTCTCTGGCGGGGCGGAAAGTAAGGTGTGGAAAGTGAGTCACTGGCTTTAAGAGCCCGCCCCTAAGGGATCCCAGTGTGTGTGTGTTGCGGGAGAGGGTCCTGAAAATGGGAGCTAGTTTTGACAGGTGAACTGGTCCCTAGTTGAACCGCCATCTCACTCTGCAACCTCAGACAACTCCCTGAGCTTCTCTGGGTCTCAGTTTGTCCTTCTGCAAAGTAGGCGCAGTAAGCTCAGCATATCCTCCTCACCTCCTGAAGGTGATTATTGAAGATTCATGTCTGAGTGGGCACATGCAAGCCTTATTGATTATAAAAGACTGCAGCCGGATAACAATATAACAAATTAATAAGTTAGCAAAGATGTCCATTTAGTTCCCTAGAGCAACTCTATACAGCATGTATTGTCCTCTACTTGCAGGGGAGAAAACGGAGCCTATGATAGCAGATTTACTCAGGTTCACCCAAGGAATTGGAAACAATCCTAGGACTCAAACTTGTGTATCATTTAGCTTTCATCCTGTATTTTTCCTTCCCAGGCATGGTGTTACCTGAAAAAGACTTGCCCCCCCCCCATGGCTTTAGTACGTGAGGGATGGTCTTAAGGGTGCCAGATTTGCCCCTGCCTCTGGTTACCATAGACTTAATCATAGGCCACTCCCAAGCTAAGTGACAAAGCTGTTCTGGGATCCTAGGAATCAGGAGGTCGGGGATGACATATGATCAGCAACCTAGGCAGAATCCCAAACGAGGACATGGACAGTGGGGTAGCCTCATGGCAAAACTTAAATCCAGGTCTCTCCGCTCTCAGAACAGAGCTCTATTCACTACAGGATTGTTTTCCCAGCAGGACTGTCTTGGCTGTGATTCCTAGTCCTTTTCCCTCCCTAGAGGCCAAGAAGGGAATAGGAGGGGGAGCAGCTTAAGACTTAAGAAGGGCAGAGACCCGACAAGTGGGTGATGCCAACAGGGTCCCAGTGCTGACTGGGTTAGTATCCTCCAGGTTCAAATTGGTACCCGTGGTCTGACAGTCAGTGACTGTTTAAATCTGGCTGCAGCGGTTGGGGGCAGGAGGTAACTGCAGAAGGCAGTAGTGACTTTGGGGTCAAATCTGAGCTAGGGTTGAATCCTAGCTCCACCACTTCCTAGCTCTCTTAGCCTTACCTACCCGTCTCTAAAATGGGATGATAAGACAGTTGTGAGGATTCAATGAGTTAATTGTGGTGCTACTGAATCATGTGTTTAAAATGCCTGGTAGCTACTTATTCATTCACGAATTCATTCATTCAATAAAAAATTATTGAGCACCTAGCAGGTATAGAACAGCCTGCCAATGGCTCAGCTATAATGGTAAGAAAAATAGTCAGACCCTCTGGGAGCTTAGACTCTGGTAAGGAACAAAGTAGTTAAACAAATGAATGCACAAACACAGTTAGAAAGTGATAAGGAACAAGAAGGCAAAGTACAATCTGATTCTGAGAGGGAATATCAGGAAATGGGAGGAGTCAAAGGAGACTTCCCTAAGTGGATGCTGTCTGTGGTGAATTGATGGATGTGGTTCACCCATTCATGAATGAGAGGGTGAGAGAAAAGGGGCAAGTCAAGAGAAGGGTATGAAGTCAAGGAGGGTAGTGGGAGTGGGGCTGGAGGGCACAGCACACGATCTGAGGGCCACAATAGAGAGGGTCATTGTTAAACCAGACCCTAGTTTTGGTTTTGAAGGTGGAATTGTTCTCCAAGGTTCTCTTCACTTTTCTGATAGTCCCTAAAAGAAGCTGGCTTTACTGGGTGGTAAGTACCTATAATCCCAGCTACTCAGGGGCTGAGGTAGGAGGATTGCAAATTCAAGGCCAGCCTGGGCAATTTAGAGAAACTCTATTTCAAAAAAAAAAAAAGAGGGGGGGCGGGGCGTGGTAACACACCCTTAAAATCCCAGCAACTCAGGAGGCTGAGACTGAGACAGGAGGATCACAAGTTCAAAACCAGATTCAGCAATTTAGCTAGACCCTAAGCAACTTAGCAAGACCCTGACTCTGTTAAAAATGTATATATAGAGAGGGTGGGGTTATGGCTCAGTGGTAGAGCACTTGCCTAGCATGTGTGAGGCACTGGGTTCAATTCTCAGCACCACATAAAAATGAATAAAATAAAGGTCCATCAACAACTAAAAAATATTTTTTAAAAAATTATATATATATATATATATATATATATATATATATATATATGGCTGGGGATGTGGCTAAGTGGTTAAAGTATCCCTGGGTTCAATCCCTGGTTCAAAAAGAAAAAATATATATATAGGCCATGATGTATTGAGTTTAATTCAGGGATGGGGGCAGAGGGAGGATGCAGGCTTCCAGAACCTGGAATTTGCAAGGCCCTGGGTTCAATCCCCATCCCCAGTATTTTAGAAGAGATCGCAGGCTTCCAAGAAGGCCCTCCTAGGTTTGAATCTTGACTGTACCACCTTACCTTAGATACAGTGACTTTGATCTGTCACCAAACCTAATTGTCCTTCAGCCATATTTATTATTATACTTTTAGGAGGTATAATTATAGAGGGTCATAAGGTAGCAGTAAGGATTTAAAGGGAAATATAATTAAGTGGCAGATAGAAGGCACTCTATAAATGGTCCTGGGGGGGGGGTGTTGTGACTCCGTGGTAGAGTGCTTGTCTAGCATGTGTGAGGCACTGGGTTCAATTCTCAGCACCGCATATAAATAAATTATAGAATAAAGGTCCATGGACAACCAAAAAATATTTATAAATAAATAAATTGTCCTTGGTATTCCCAGCATGGAGGGAGGTAGCAGAGCCAGCAGCTGGTTTGTAATAGAGCTGATGCAGACAACCATGTATTGTGCAAGTTATTATCTAACCTTAATTGTCATAGGAAACTTTGAAGTCAGACAAACCTGAGTTTAAATAACTGTTTACCACTTTCTAGCTATGTGACTTTAAGCAGGTGACTTCACCTCTCTGAGCCTCTGTTTCCTTATCCTTTAAATGTGAATCATAATTCTATTTCCCAGAGTTGTGAAGATTAAATGAGATAATAAATGTGATCACCTAGGGAATGGGGGTGTAGCTCAGTGGTAGAACGCTTGTCTAACATACATAAGGCCCTGGGTTCAATCCCCAAAACTGGAGGGAAAAAAAAAGTTATTTCAAATATGAGTCACTTAGCACAATGATTGGTATATGGTAAGCAACTGTTGAATGTTAGTTCTAATAATAATTACTATTAATATTTACATCAGCAGTTTCCACCTCCTTGAGAAATTAATATTCTGAGCTGGGCCTAGTGGTACTTTCCTGTAATCTTAGTAACTCAGGAGGCTGAGGCAGGAGAATCACAAATTTGAGGCCAGCCTCAGCAATTTAGTGAGACCCTGACTCAAAATAAAAAATAAAGGCGGGGGGGGGGGGTGCGCTGGAGATGTAGCTCGGTGATAAAGTGCCCCTGGATTCAATCCCCAGTACCAAAAGAAAAGAAAAAGAAGTTGTAGGGAAGAATGAAGGAACTTTGGATTGTGCAGACGGGAGTGAGGGGAAGGGTGGGGTGGTGGGGATGGGAAGGACGGTGGAATGAGATAGACATTATTATCCTATATACGTGTATAACTACACTACTGGTGTGACTCAGCACCATGTACAGCCAGAGGAATGAGAAGTTATGCTCCACTTGTGTACAATGTGTCAAATGCATTCTACTGTCATGTGTAACTAATTAGAACAAATAAAAAAAGAAAAATTAATATTCTGGGGCTTTGCTTACAGGTTGTCCCAACAACAGAAGCCTTACTTTTTCTTTTTAGGAGATGAAGATAGGTTGCTTTTTAAGGTGAGTGCTATACCTATTACTAGTATTGAACACCAACATTTAGTGAGCATTTACTATATGCCAGGCATATGCTAATCACTTTAAATGAATTAATCCTCATAGTGGTCCTGTAAATTAGGTCCTATTATCATTCTTATTTTACAAATGAGGACAAGGTAGCACAGAGAGGTTAAGGGCCCAAGGATACCCAATGGAAAGTAACAAGGCTGGAATTCAAACCCAGCCATGGAACTTGAGAGTTCCAGATGGGTAAGCCCTACCTCTTCTACCAAGGAGTAAAAGATATCACCTGGAGCCAGTGCTGAAATTATTCACTGCCTGTAGCAAGTCCCCAGTTTGCAAAAGACAAGTCCTGTTCCTTTCCTACCAATTAAAAAAAAAAAAACCTCTTGCCTATTTCCCCAGTAAGGGCAAGAATCAGACTTTATTCCTCCGTAAAGCGTCACTGGCTACCTAGGCTCCTTAATGGTGGCCAAGTCACACCCTCTCTCTGAGACTCAGTTTCCTTCTCTTTATCTATGAAATAGAGATGATAAAGCTCTGCCTACAAGACTGTCATGAGGAGCAAAGGCCACATGAGTTTCTGTTATTGTTGCCGTGGGCTTGGGAGCCCTTTGGGAAAGCAGCCTAAGTCAGTAACAGGCCAGAGGCAAACGGACTCAGGTTCAAGTCCCAGGTCTGCCTTTTATGCTGTCTGATCTTGGACCAGTTATATAACCGGCCAAACCTGAACCT